TAGTCGTTAGACCATTGACCACGCGTCCCTACAAAGCCGGGACGGAGCACGCCGGGTTCTCACCGGATAGTGGGAGGGGGGGAGGGCTCAATAAGGCAGTGTGTGCCCGGCGAATCAACCGGCACTATTTCAAGAGTATGGAATGACTTGGAGATTCGTTGTGTGCACGGCAAGCTCATCTACGCTATGCAGGGCACCGGTGTTATTGACCCCCCCCCCACTACTGTTTCTTGTGTCACGTACTCCGACACGACAGGAGGCCGCAGAGAGAACTACTTTCGCACTCAAGAAAAGAAGTAGAAACGTTTTCGATCGCGTGGCAGAGCGTGAGCTCATAAGTAGCAGCTTGTGCTGCGCCGCGCTTGGAAAGGTGACTTGCTGCGCCGTCTCACCGACATTTGAGGACAGCGTACCCCAAGCGCCTTACCCCCGCTGCTTGACAATCCCCCCCAGTTCCGAGACATCGGCCGTATGTACTTGAATATATGTTTACTTGAAGTATATAGCAGCGGTGAAGGCGGGATCAACGTCGCGGCGTAATAACAGCCCCCCCCCCCGCAGTACGAATAAATCGGGGTCCCGCAGTACAAGAAGAAGCACTACTGTACTGCTGTACCGCTTTGGTCGGACGACCGCGTCACGACGCCGCAAGCTTAAGAATTCGCTGTTGTCTTTGGTCTGTTCGTTGCAAACACGGTCGGGGGTGTTTGGCAGGCGATGGCAAGGGAGATGCCGCGGTGGCCGGCCCGGGTCTGAGCCCGCGGTTTTTCGACGACGCGAGAGCGCTGTTGGACAGGCTGGACAGCCCCGGAGTGCTTGGTCGGGCCTGCGAGGCCGCCGTCCGGGCCGTCCTGCCTTCCCTCGCGGACGTCAGGAAGCTTCTAGAGGTACGCGTACAACATGGGGTAGTCCTTCGGAATCCAACATGGTAATCCTCTATTTTCCGCTCTTCTTGTTGGGGCGAATATTGGTGACCGGAAGGTTCAAGAGGTATGCGTACATTATGGTCCTTTGTATCCCGAGTATTTTGGGGCGAGTATTGGTGTCAGAAGCCTGAAAGAGGTATGTATGTATGAAATGGTTCTATCCTTTGGACTACGAGTGGTTAGGGCGCTGTTGATGTCAGGGAAGTTCTAGAGTTTTGCCTACGTGCGTACGACATGATGGTCGTTGTATTCCGAGAATTGGGGAGCGACTATGGGTATCAGGAAGCTCCTAGAGGTATGTTCAACATGGTGATCCTTTAGACTCCCTGTGCTGGGGGCGTCTATTGGCGCGGTCTTCGTGAAACATTCTGAGTTTTCTTCGCCCGGCGGTGTTGCTGCGTTGTTGTTGTCGTCGTTGTTGCCGTCGTTGTCGTCTTCGTCGTTGCTGGAGACTTGCTGTTTCATGGCGGTATGACCTCTGGCCAACCCCCCTCAAACGCGTACTCTTGGACATATTTCCGCGGTTCTAGCAGCACGAACGGAAATGGAAGGAAATCTTGTCCTTACGTACACCACCAAATGACAACAGCAGCATCGTCTTTGTGCGTTCAAGCGTACCGTACGTGTTCGTGCGTGTTCTTGCCACACCGACCTTCTTCAACAACACAGTAAGTGACGCCTGTTCATTGCTTCAGGCTTGGTGATGTGCAATCCGGCGTTCTCCATCTGTAGGGATGCGAGGCCGACGATCTAACGACTGACTACGGCATGCACGGCTATGCGTGTTGTACCCCCACCCCGTCTCCCCCTCTCCGCCAACAAAGGTGGTGGAGAACCGTTTGCGATCATTCGACACGGCGGGCGCCAGGGTCCGCAACACGATGCTCGAGCGCCTGACGGGGGTCCTCTCGCGGCTCCGCACCTTCGAGCTCATCGAGGGCGGTCGCAAGTCGACCCTGCAGGCGTCCGCCACGGCTGCCACCGCCGCCTCCGCCGCCGCCGTCGCCGCCGCCACCGCTACCTCGGAGCTGGCGGCCGTAGGACTTCCATCGGGTACGCTGACTCGTCCACCCGGCGACGACGACAGCAGTGACGCAGAACTCGGCGATGGGGAATCTGCCGTTGCCCGCGGCGGTGGGAAGGAGCATCAGGGTTGTGGGCGTGACGGGGCCAGGGATGTGGGTGATGACAGCGACGACGACGACGAGGGCGAGGATGCTCATCCGGGGGGAGCGGGGCGGCGATCGTCTTCCCCAGGTCCCGTACTATCCTCGCGCGCCGGTTCCGAGGACGGCGGCGGTAACCCCCACACACACGACCAACATGGCGGCAGCGGCGACGCCGAATTGTCGGAGGTCGAGCGCTGGCTGCAGTTCCTCGCCGCCGACCTGGTTTCCTTCATGGGAGGCGCGCTTCAGGCCGGGGACATCCAGGCCGCCGCCGTCGCCTGGCGGCGGCACGGCCGCACCGATCGCGGGGCCGGTCGAGCGGCGGCGGCGGCGGCGGCGGGAGGGGCCGGGGGCGGCAGCGGTGAGGAGGGAGGCCGGCGGATGGGGGTGGCTCTGCCCGGGCAGCTAGCCAGCGTCCCGGCGGGCGCGCCGCCGCTGCTGCTCGGGGGGTGGCTCAGGGACGAGGTGCTGCCGTGGCTGGATGCGGTCGAGGTGGTCGCGGTGAGTTTTTTCTCCGAAGCAGGAGGGGGGGGGTACATACCTATCTTACGGCTTGTTTGAGTCATTTTGACTTGTTGGTTCTGCCGACTCTGAACCCTATTGGCCCTACGTAGCAGGAGTACGCGCTGCCGTTCGGGAGGGGAGGGTGGCGTCGAGGAGATCTGATGCGTGTAGCGTCTGAACAACGGTTGTGCCCGTAGCGACAGAGTTGTTGCGGGGGGTGACATGGATGCAATCAGAACAGGTGGAGAAGGGCCAAAGATGCGTGCTTGTTGGCTGGGCGGCATGAGGCGTAAGTTCAAATCTGCTCCGAAACCATGAGAAAGAATGGTCCGCTTGCTCGGTGTCGTTTTTTTGCGCCCCTGACTTTGTCTCTACTCACTCCACGAGATCCGTAAGTCGCCGCAGCCATCGCTGCCCACGCCCGTTCACCCGTCGACACTTGCCGGTGAACATATGTCAGAAATGTGTGAGGCTCGGATTGCTATGCCCCCATGGCCAAGGACATCATTCCGCTCTGTTTCCTTGGAAGGGGGCGTTACATGGGCAGAGGTCACGTCATGCCATCAGTGGTTCATGCTTGGAAACGAGGACCCATCGACTCTCCCACCCGTCCATGCAAAGCCCCTCACACACGCCGGCGAAAAACCATGCAACTTGTGTGAACTCCCTGAGCATCCATGGTTACCCGTCGACGCTCTCATCCGGCCGTGCGAAGCCCCGCAACGAACAACATGCCATCTGTGTGAATCACCGGACCCATCTATGATGTATACCCATCGAAACCTACGTCCATACGCCCATCGACAAGCTCACCCGTGCACGCAACGACCCGTCCTCCCACCGATGATAGTGTAACCGTACACATACGGAGCTAGCCAGCTCGTTGGAAAGATCTAACCGCAAATAAATATATTATCCTTAATATATAATACAGGTCCGCAGCTGGGCCGTGGACCACGCGCGAGACGTGGAGTCTCTCGAAAAGCGCCCCCATGGCGCCCTGCTGTTCGCCAGGGCCATCGCCCAGGGGTCGGGCCGCGTCCTCGGTTCTGCGGCGGCACTGCTGGCGGTTCACTCGGCCGAGCTGGCGGCGGCGGAGGCGGAGGCGGCGGCCAGGAGGACCGGCCCGTCCGACCACTGGAAGCGCTGGAAGCCGGACGGGCTGGATGCCTTGGGGAAGACTCTCGGTATGGGGCAAGGGCAAAACCAAAACCCTGTACACACCTTTTTTGTTTTATGGGTTCTAGAGTTTCACACTAAAGCCTGTACAATGTGGAATATGAGGACCGTGCTTTAAGGGGGGAAGAAGAGGAATTTTGATATTGACGAATTTTGAAAACAAGCGCAAGAGGTCCAGCAATTGTACAATAGACACACAAGACCAGTTGGGAGGCATCGCGAAAAACAGAAATCGTTGACTCTCGCACAGGGCGGCAGCAGAGGCTGCTCAAAATTCAAAAAACATTTCACGCGTCTACCTCCACAGGCCTCCTTTGAAAATCAAGATAGAAATTCACACAACTCTAAATTCAAGTCAGAAGAGCCAACACGGAAGGCGCGGGGGGTTAGTGCTTCCACTAACTGAAGCCATGTCTCTTCTTCGCAAAGATAGGAAGACGTTCCGGCTGGGGATGGGAAGGAGGGGGGGG